ATTACATGTTTTGTAGTCTGTTATACAGAAAGAAAATTACATGTTTTGTAGTCTGTTATACAGAAAGAAAAATTACATGTTTTGTAGTCTGTTATACAGAAAGAAAATTACATGTTTTGTAGTCTGTTATACAGAAAGAAAATTACATGTTTTGTAGTCTGTTATACAGAAAGAAAATTACATGTTTTGTAGTCTGTTATACAGAAAGAAAATTACATGTTTTGTAGTCTGTTATACAGAAAGAAAATTACATGTTTTGTAGTCTGTTATACAGAAAGAAAAAAATACATGTTTTGTAGTCTGTTATACAGAAAGAAAATTACATGTTTTGTAGTCTGTTATACAGAAAGAAAATTACATGTTTTGTAGTCTGTTATACAGAAAGAAAATTACATGTTTTGTAGTCTGTTATACAGAAAGAAAATTACATGTTTTGTAGTCTGTTATAGGTCAGAAAGAAATTACATGTTATACAGAAAGAAAATTACATGTTTTGTAGTCTGTTATACAGAAAGAAAATTACATGTTTTGTAGTCTGTTACACAGAAAGAAAATTACATGTTTTGAATCACTGTGTTCTCCAGATGATTAGCGAACCCACTTTATAACATCTAGAAATTATCTGTGAGTTGGCTCAGGGTGCTGTTTGGCTCTGTTTTGTCTGTGAGTTGGCTCAGGGTGCTGTTTGGCTCTGTTTTGTCTGTGAGTTGGCTCAGGGTGCTGTTTGGCTCTGTTTTGTCTGTGAGTTGGCTCAGGGTGCTGTTTGGCTCTGTTTTGTCTGTGAGTTGGCTCAGGGTGCTGTTTGGCTCTGTTTTGTCTGTGAGTTGGCTCAGGGTGCTGTTTGGCTCTGTTTTGTCTGTGAGTTGGCTCAGGGTGCTGTTTGGCTCTGTTTTGTCTGTGAGTTGGCTCAGGGTGCTGTTTGGCTCTGTTTTGTATGTGGGTTGGCTCAGGGTGCTGTTTGGCTCTGTTTTGTCTGTGAGTTGGCTCAGGGTGCTATTTGGCTCTGTTTTGTCTGTAAGTTGGCTCAGGGTGCTGTTTGGCTCTGTTTTGTCTGTGAGTTAACTCAGGGGGCTGTTTGGCTCTGTTTTGGCTCTGTTTTGTCTGTGAGTTGGCTCATGGTGCTGTTTGGCTCTGTTTTGTCTTTAAGTTGGCTCAGGGTGCTGTTTGGCTCTGTTTTGTCTGTGAGTTGGCTCAGGGTGCTGTTTGGCTCTGTTTTGTCTGTGAGTTGGCTCAGGGTGCTGTTTGGCTCTGTTTTGTATGTGGGTTGGCTCAGGGTGCTGTTTGGCTCTGTTTTGTCTGTGAGTTGGCTCAGGGTGCTGTTTGGCTCTGTTTTGTCTGTGAGTTGGCTCAGGGTGCTGTTTGGCTCTGTTTTGTCTGTGAGTTAACTCAGGGGGCTGTTTCGCTCTGTTTTGGCTCTGTTTTGTCTGTGAGTTGGCTCATGGTGCTGTTTGGCTCTGTTTTGTCTTTAAGTTGGCTCAGGGGGCTGTTTGGCTCTGTTTTGTCTGTGAGTTGGCTCAGTGTGCTGTTTGGCTCTGTTTTGTCTGTGAGTTGGCTCAGGGTGCTGTTTGGCTCTGTTTTGTCTGTGAGTTGGCTCAGGGTGCTGTTTGGCTCTGTTTTGTCTTTAAGTTGGCTCAGGGTGCTGTTTGGCTCTGTTTTGTCTGTGAGTTGGCTCAGGGTGCTGTTTGGCTCTGTTTTGTCTGTGAGTTGGCTCAGGGTGCTGCTTGGCTCTGTTTTGTCTGTGAGTTGGCTCAGTGTGCTGTTTGGCTCTGTTTTGTCTGTGAGTTGGCTCAGGGTGCTGTTTGGCTCTGTTTTGTCTGTGAGTTGGCTCAGGGTGCTGTTTGGCTCTGTTTTGTCTTTAAGTTGGCTCAGGGTGATGTTTGGCTCTGTTTTGTCTGTGAGTTGGCTCAGGGTGCTGTTTGGCTCTGTTTTGTCTGTGAGTTGGCTCAGGGTGCTGCTTGGCTCTGTTTTGTCTGTGAGTTGGCTCAGGGTGCTGTTTGGCTCTGTTTTGTCTGTGAGTTGGCTCAGGGTGCTGTTTGGCTCTGTTTTGTCTTTAAGTTGGCTCAGGGTGCTGTTTGGCTCTGTTTTGTCTGTGAGTTGGCTCAGGGTGCTGTTTGGCTCTGTTTTGTCTGTGAGTTGGCTCAGGGTGCTGTTTGGCTCTGTTTTGTCTGTGAGTTGGCTCAGGGTGCTGTTTGGCTCTGTTTTGTCTGTGAGTTGGCTCAGTGTGCTGTTTGGCTCTGTTTTGTCTGTGAGTTGGCTCAGTATGCTGTTTGGCTCTGTTTTGTCTGCGAATTCTTTTATGCTGTCAGTTGATGATTTATAATGTCTCGGGCGAATCTCTGCCGTTAAAGTACTCACACATCTGTATATACAGTTGCGATTTCCTGTTTATAGAAAAAAAAAAGGGGGGGGGGGTGAAACGCATAGTTATCCAGTGGCGCTTTCTAGTAAAAATCAGTGAACAAGTTCGTGTTTGTTTCCTTCCTGTCAATACTACCGGCGTTAGCGCCTCCCTCCACCCAGGTGTACTGACCCAGTTCCACTTTCCGCTAGCGATATATAGGTCAGTAGCTGTCCAGTTTACCCTGCAGAGGTTTCACCAGGGACCCAGAAGAGTATCATTTATTTAATGCATACCAGTCCAGTAATGGACTATTTGTATTCTTGTGATTACTTTCGTATGGGGCGGAAACGTGGAGAACAACTAAAGCAATCACTAATAAATTACAGACATTCATTAACTGGTGCCTGCGCAGAATAGAGGAAATTAAATGGTATGGTAGAATAACAAATGTAGAGCTTTGGTAGAGAACTAAACAGGCTCCAGTGGACCAAGAGTTGAGGAAAAGATGCTGGCGTTGGATAGGACACACACTGAGAAAACAGGAGAACAGCATAACTTGAATGTTTTTGATTGGAACCCACAGGGGCATAGGAATAAAGGAAGGCCAAAAAACACATGGAGAAGAGAGCTGGAGAATGAAATTCGAAAGATGGGGGAGGACATGGGGAGAGCTCCATGTAATAGCGAAGGATAGAACGACTTGGTGTGAGTTGGTTGAGGGCCTATGCTCCATTGTCGGATAGAAAGGCAGAAGAAGAAAAGTCCAGTGTAGTCATTTCATAGTTTTTGAATATTTGTATGGCTATACTGTCTTTCTTTTTTTTTTTTTTTTTTTTTGCTGTTGAAGGCTAATCGCCGCAGCGTTCTTTATTTGTTCATTGTAATTGATTTTGTGAAGCTGACATAAAGTATTTGTTTTGTTTTTTTACCCTCTTTTCTTCTCTCTCCTATAATTTCCTACACTTTTAGAAACGTTCTTGTTTACGCAGTTATCCGACAGTTAACGTAGTTATCCGACGGCGTTTTCCTTTTCAGAAAAATAATTAACGCATAATCCGATATCGCGTTTCTATTTGTTCACTGGAAAGCCTTTACGCTTTAAAAGTATCCATTACCCAAAAATGTCAAAGGATTGGTTGAACCTTAAGATATCTTATGTACAATTTGAACACTTTCACTCATTAAATCACACATATTTTTAATGTCAAACTTATGTTCATTAAATAGATATGTCCCTTTTTTAATAACTTGGAAAGCTACACGTTTTGCAAGTTTTTTTTTTTTTTTGGAACTGTACCCTATCCCTGATTATTCACAACTCCACAAGCCCCTCCAAATTTTGTCAATACCGTCTGCCAATCTCCGGAGAGCCGCTAACATCCCGAGCCATTTGTAATCCGATTAGTGACCTGTCAGGCGGCCGCCATTTTTCACACTCATTCTCCCATTTAGATTCCTTCCTTCCGTCACCGATACCAGTGAGGGAATTGTGTGACCGTGAATCTATCTCTGAAGGCGGTATATTATTTTCTAAGATAGGAAAATTGTTTGAAGTAAATTAAATAAATACAATAACTTTGAATGGGAGTGGATGTCTGGTTGTTTTCGTGATTTCATTTCTCCAGTCTTATTGTGGGGTTCGGTTGTGACATCGCTGAAAATAACGCTATACCTTATCTGGTCGAATTTCTTCTATTGATGAAATTAGTATTCTATAATTAGTCCAGACTGTACCGTAAGAGGGGAGTTTCCGCTGTTAATTAAAACAAAAAAACAAAAAAAATAACGTTACTATAGCTCATAAGTTTAAACTGTAAATAACAGACGGATTTATGTAGTGGATTGTTGGCCTGTCCATCTGCGGATCACCTCTCAGTTTGTGTCGGTAACATGAGTGAACACAAACTATGGCTGCGAAACTCCACGAAACGATAGACGCAAATCCTCATCAAGGACTATCCTGTTCCCGCTTTTCCACCCATCTTCTTCGCCGCCTTTTATTATCACCCTTGAGCTTTCTCCATAGCTAAAATATCTAATGACTTCCGGTTAGAATAGTGGATGGGCAGGCCGACTGTTTTAGTCGTGGCAAATTGTTCGATTCTAGCCACGGTTAGTTTACCACCCATTCCACCACCACCACCCCCCCCCCCCCACCTAAACATGCTAAACATGTATAGTTCCGTTGCCCGGCTACTCATATGACTCTGTGGCGCGACATTATGAGCTGCGGGTTTCATTTCGAATGTCATTCAGCTGTGCCCAGTTTGGTTTTTGTTGAACTACAGATTTAAAAATTGGTGACTGGCCAATTGCCATAGAACTGGCAGTGCCTGATGTGATATTGCATGTGCAACTACCGATTTCGTGCAGCTGCTGCTTTCTTCAAGGATGAAATGCAGTTCTTCGGGCAGACTTTTGTATTAGTACTTCTGACGGCTGCCTTATGCGTTGAATGCGTGTGTGTCCCATTGGCTTTGCCGAGACTGCAGTGTGTTTAAATTATTTTTTCAACAAGGGACGGTAATGGCCCTTATGTGCCCTGTGCTTTCGGTGGCACAGCAACGGTTAACTGCGAGATGACCTGTTTGCTATGAAGTTGGAACTGTATTGAACTAATTAAGTTATTATAATGTCTGATGTTTCTTTCCTTTTGCAGGCACTTCTTCAGTCTCACGACGTGGTAGCCCATGAAGTTTACAGTGAAGAGACTGGACATCACGCCTCACCTAGCACCACCCATCCGTCTTCCATCCCCGCCCACTCTTACGTGAATGGCAGCATGAGTGGTGAAGGGCGTGGCAACGGTGAAGTGGAGGGTGGCGGACACAGAAGTGATGGCGGCGAGGGAACATTACGTGTCCGATTGGTGCAGTTCCAAAAGAACACTGATGAACCAATGGTAAGTCTTTGTTGTTGGCAGTGAATATCCTGCTGAAATCACATTTTCTGTGGGGAATAGGATTCCCTGGACCGTGTTGCAAGCGAATGCGGCTCCGGAAGAGGTGGAACATCAGGAAGAGAATAGCTGTGACCTATAAACCAATGGCAGATTGATTAGGACCTAAGCGTTTTAGAAGAAGTACAATAGATGCAGGCAGTGGCAACAATGGTCCTGACCAGTATTACCACTTTTCTTTGACATAAAACGTCCAAAACGGTCAAAATATATCTAAAAACATCTAAATTTGCGTAGAAAACATCTAGAAAAAACATCAAAATGGAAATAGTCACAAATCACATTGCTTACCCTATAGAATCATGTCCTCGTCTTTACTGAAGTCTGCCTTACAAGATCCACAGAATAAACTTACCTTGGATGATGAAGTTGAAGCTTCAGATCTAAAATGACTGGTATGCGTTAGCTGTTCCAATTTCTTTTAATACCCAATCAGGGAGCTGATAAGTGGAACAGCCTTTTCCTACTCTTATCAGGCCGAATTTTATTGTCAAGATAGCATTTAAGAGGTTCCTGTTTCTTAGGTTAGATTTGATAAATACCCTCCAAATGAAAAACAACTAGAAAAACATCTGCCATCAAAACGTCAAAAACGCCATCTAAATGCAAAGGAAAACATCTAAATCTGGACGTAAAACATCCAAAGTGGCAACACTGGTCCTGTCATCAGGTACTCTGATTGTGGAAGACACGAGCAACATGTTCCCTCAGGACAGCTGGACGAGAATCTACACAGACGAAGCAGCAAACCTGACAACTAAGCTTTGGGGAAACCTAAGAGACTTTGAGATGACATTCCCGTTTATGGCCCACAGTGGATTAAGTACTTGACCAGAAATCGCTGAAGAAGGAGTAGAAGTATACAAAAGGCACTGATCATTTCAATATGACACCACATGTGCAGAGAGACACCGATTGTATGAAGATGACACTGATTATATAAAATGACACTAACAGTTTAAAGATGATACTGACTATATAAAGATGACAGTGACTGTGTAAATCGCTGACAGTGATTAGGAATTGACATCATAGCATACCGGACATATCCTTAGAGGCTCTGTCTCCCGGAGCAGATGGCTTGAGGTGTAGATGCTAACTGTTCCTCTAGTACAGTGATTATACACAGGTTGTTCTCTTCCTCTCATCTGTCTATCCTTGCTGCATCCACTCATGATTCCTTGTTCACACATTCTTATAAATGTCATTTCATCCACCCTCGTGTCTTCTATTAGAATTTGTTCGTAACTGGTCTCCAAAATGTCTCTTTTGTTCTGTATGAGCGTACCCGTGGCTGTCCCTTTAGTAGCTTCACAATCCGCTCTTTCATTTCCTGGCACACCAGCATATTCAGGACAGTATATCCATGCGAGTCCCCTGTAATGCTGATGTTTGGTATCCACTGTGCAAAGTTGACTCTAACGATAAAGCTGATGTTTGGTATCCACTGTGTGAAGTTGACTCTAACGATAAAGCTGATGTTTGGTATCCACTGTGTGAAGTTGACTCTAACGATAAAGCTGATGTTTGGTATCCACTGTGTGAAGTTGACTCTAACGGTAAAGCTGATGTTTGGTATCCACTGTGTGAAGTTGACTCTAACGATAAAGCTGATGTTTGGTATCCACTGTGTGAAGTTGACTCTAACGATAAAGCTGATGTTTGGTATCCACTGTGTGAAGTTGACTCTAATAACGATAAAGCTGATGTTTGGTATCCACTGTGTGAACTTGACTCTAACGATAAAGCTGATGTTTGGTATCCACTGTGTGAAGTTGACTCTAAAGGTAAAGCTGATGTTTGGTATCCACTGTGTGAAGTTGACTCTAACGATAAAGCTGATGTTTGGTATCCACTGTGTGAAGTTGACTCTAACGATAAAAGGATGACATTGACTGTATAGAGATGGCATAACGACATAAAGATCATATTGACTGTATAGAGATGATATTGACTATATAAAGATGACTTTGAGTATATAAAGATGACATCGACTATATAAAGATGATATTGACTATATAAAGATGATATTGACTATATAAAGATGACATTGACTATATAAAGATGACATTACAACAGAAAGATGACATTGACTATATTGCAAATATTTATAAATATATTTATACTCCAATGACAGTGTCTATAGATTTTAGTTGAGACTGAATATACACAGATGGCAGTGACTATAGATTTATTTGATACTGACTACGTATACGCAAATGACAATGACTATAGATTTAGTTGAGACTGACTATACACAAATAACAGGGACTGTAGATTTTTTCGTACTGACTGCATGTACACAAATGTCTGGCCATAGATTTAGATGAGACTGACTATACACAAATGACATGACTATAGATTTAGTTGAGACTGACTATACACAAATGACATGACTATAGATTTAGTTGAGACTGATATACACGAATGACACTGACTATAGATTTAGTTGAGACTGATATACACGAATGACACTGACTATAGATTTAGTTGAGACTGACATACACGAATGACACTGACTATAGATTTAGTTGAGACTGACATACACGAATGACACTGACTATAGATATAGTTGACACTGACATACACGAATGACACTGACTATAGATTTAGTTGAGACTGACATACACGAAGGACACTGACTATAGACATAGTTGAGACTGACATACACGTATGACACTGACAATAGATATAGTTGAGACTGACATACACGAATGACACTGACTATAGACATAGTTGAGACTGACATACACAAATGACACTGACAAAAGACATAGTTGAGACTGACATACACAAATGACACTGACAAAAGACATAGTTGAGACTGACATACACGAATGACACTGACTGAAAACATAGTTGAGACTGACATACACGAATGACACTGACTATAGACATAGTTGAGACTGACTTACACAAATGACACTGACAAAAGACATAGTTGAGACTGACATACACGAATGACACTGACTATAGACATAGTTGAGACTGACATACACGAATAGCATACGAAGCGTGTATTGTTGACTCTGAAAATAACACACTTGTATCTTCTGCATGTACCAGGGTATCACGCTGAAGGTCAACGACGAAGGTCAATGTTTTGTTGCCAGAATCATGCATGGAGGGATGATCCACAGACAAGGTCGGCCTGTGTGTACTTGCTAATCTGTGTCTGTCTTCACGTGCCCTAGCTTCTCTGTGTCTGTCTGCATGTGTCCTAGCTTCTCTGTGTCTGTCTTCACATGTCCTAGCTTCTCTCTGTCTGTCTTCACGTGTCTTAGCTTCTCTGTGTCTGTCTTCACATGTCCTAACTTCTCTGTGTCTGTCTTCACGTGTCCTAGCTTCTCTGTGTCTGTCTTCACGTGTCCTAGCTTCTCTCTGTCTGTCTTCACGTGTCTTAACTTCTCTGTGTCTGTCTTCACGTGTCCCAGCTTCTCTGTGTCTGTCTTCACGTGTCCTAGCTTCTCTGTGTCTGTCTTCACATGTCTTAACTTCTCTATGTCTGTCTTCACGTGTCCTAGCTTCTCTGTGTCTGTCTGCATGTGTCCTAGCTTCTCTGTGTCTGTCTTCACATGTCCTAGCTTCTCTCTGTCTGTCTTCACGTGTCTTAGCTTCTCTCTGTCTGTCTTCACATGTCCTAGCTTCTCTGTGTCTGTCTTCACATGTCCTAGCTTCTCTCTGTCTGTCTTCACGTGTCCTAGCTTCTCTCTGTCTGTCTTCACGTGTCCTAGCTTCTCTCTGTCTGTCTTCAAGTGTCCTAGCTTCTCTCTGTCTGTCTTCACATGTCTTAACTTCTCTGTGTCTGTCTTCACATGTCTTAACTTCTCTGTGTCTGTCTTCACGTGCCCTAGCTTCTCTGTGTCTGTCTTCACATGTCTTAACTTCTCTGTGTCTGTCTTCACGTGCCCTAGCTTCTCTGTGTCTGTCTTCACATGTCTCAACTTCTCTGTGTCTGTCTTCACATGTCCTAGCTTCTCTGTGTCTGTCTTCACATGTCTTAACTTCTTTGTGTCTGTCTTCACGTGCCATAGCTTCTCTGTGTCTGTCTTCACGTGTCTTAACTTCTCTGTGTCTGTCTTCACGTGCCCTAGCTTCTCTGTGTCTATCTTCACATGTCTTAACTTCTCTGTGTCTGTCTTCACGTGCCCTAGCTTCTCTGTGTCTGTCTTCACGTGTCTCTTAGTTTCTCTGTGTCTGTCTTCACGTGCCCTAGCTTCTCTGTGTCTGTCTTCACATGTCCTAACTTCTCTGTGTCTGTCTTCACGTGTCTTAACTTCTCTGTGTCTGTCTTCACGTGTCCTAACTTCTCTGTGTCTGTCTTTACGTGTCCTAGCTTCTCTGTGTCTGTCTTCACATGTCTTAACTTCTCTGTGTCTGTCTTCACATGTCTTAACTTCTCTGTGTCTGTCTTCACGTGTCCTAACTTCTCTGTGTCTGTCTTCACGTGTCCTAACTTCTCTATGTCTGTCTTCACGTGTCCTAACTTCTCTGTGTCTGTCTTCACATGTCCTAACTTCTCTGTGTCTGTCTTCACGTGTCCTAGCTTCTCTGTGTCTGTCTTCACGTGTCCTAACTTCTCTGTGTCTGTCTTCACATGTCCTAACTTCTCTGTGTCTGTCTTCACGTGTCTTAACTTCTCTGTGTCTGTCTTCACGTGTCCTAACTTCTCTGTGTCTGTCTTCACGTGTCCTAACTTCTCTGTGTCTGTCTTCACGTGTCCTAACTTCTCTGTGTCTGTCTTCACGTGTCCTAACTTCTCTGTGTCTGTCTTCACGTGTCCTAACTTCTCTGTGTCTGTCTTCACGTGTCCTAACTTCTCTGTGTCTGTCTTCACGTGTCTTAACTTCTCTATGTCTGTCTTCACGTGTCCTAACTTCTGTGTCTGTCTTCACGTTTCCTAACTTCTCTGTGTCTGTCTTCACGTGTCCTAACTTCTGTGTCTGTCTTCACGTGTCCTAGCTTCTCTGTGTCTGTCTTCACATGTCTTAACTTCTCTGTGTCTGTCTTCACGTGTCTTAACTTCTCTGTGTCTGTCTTCACATGTCTTAACTTCTCTGTGTCTGTCTTCACGTGTCCTAACTTCTGTGTCTGTCTTCACGTGTCCTAGCTTCTCTGTGTCTGTCTTCACGTGTCCTAGCTTCTCTGTGTCTGTCTTCACGTGTCCTAGCTTCTCTGTGTCTGTCTTCACGTGTCCTAACTTCTCTGTGTCTGTCTTCACGTGTCCTAACTTCTCTGTGTCTGTCTTCACGTGTCCTAACTTCTGTGTCTGTCTTCACGTGTCCTAACTTCTCTGTGTCTGTCTTCACGTGTCCTAACTTCTGTGTCTGTCTTCACGTGTCCTAACTTCTGTGTCTGTCTTCACGTGTCCTAACTTCTCTGTGTCTGTCTTCACGTGTCCTAGCTTCTCTGTGTCTGTCTCCAAGTGTCATAGCTACTCTTTGTCTTCGCATGCCCTGGCTTCTGTTTGTTTTCACGTGTTCAAGCTTCTCCTTGTCTTCGTCCGGGTGTCCTAACTTTTACTTGCCTCATATCACCTGCCATCATCTCCTTGTCTTCCTCCGGGTGTCCTAACTTTTACTTGCCTCATATCACCTGCCATCATCTCCTTGTCTTCCTCCGGGTGTCCTAACTTTTACTTGCCTCATATCACCTGCCATAATCTCCTTGTCGTCTGCACAAGAATGTTAACAATAATATGTAATGTTGCCGCAGCTTCTACATACCGAGATAGTGGCGGGTAGGGAAGAGGGAAGAGAGTGTTGGTGGAAGTTTTACCAACCACGTATAGTGAAGTATAATCCCATAGTGAAGTATAATCCTACTGTCTCGAGCTACTGCTTCTTCTTCGAGCACCTCCCTCTTCTCTTCCTCCTCCTGTCTGCGCAATTCTCCGTTGCGTCTCCTACATCAGGTTGACAGTAGATTCAAGCTGATGACAGGCGTGGCCGGAACAAAAATAGGACCTATAATAATATAGAAGTGTGCGTGCTCAGGGTCATGTGATCTTAAATTGCTTACAATCGTCTGTATTATATTTATCCTCATCATGTTCGCTACCAACAAACGTTGGTGACCGTCACACACGATCACCAGAATCACGGATCAGCTCAGTGCGCTTGCCTTGCCCTTTTTCTATGACCAAGCCATCGAGTTATTTGATATGACCAGCGTGTATTGACAGCTGCTGTCTTAAAAATATGTTCAGTTAAAGTCGAGAAGATTCACTTCATTGCGCTGTGTGTTAAAACCCTTTGGCTCGGTCTCTCTGCATAGAACGGATGGTCGCCTGTCGAGAGCGTCCCGCATTGCACTAACACCGTAACTCCAGTGACGATCATCAGAGATCTCCGTAAAACTGCACATTTGAACAGAACGACGCAGCGAGGAAAAGAATTCACGACCTTCGGTAGCGATAGGCAAACCGCTTACCCACTTGACTACAGAAAATTCCTCGTGGAAAAGATCATCATCATCATCAATCAGCAGATCTTCACGGCACATCCGAAAGTCTCTGTCAGTTCTGCAGCCATATGTGCTTTCGTAGCCAAAGAGTATTAAATGTCTTCTTTTCACCATCACTGGGGTCGGCCTTTGCCTCTTCCTAGTAGCAGACGATTTGGCAGCAGACCGGATTGCGTTGCTTCTGATAGTGGTATCGAGTACCGACCATCTATAAAGCAGTGGCAAACTGCTAAATGTAAATTTGCCTAGAAAAGCCACAACAGCCGGAAAAATAAATAGCTGGGGTTGGTAAAAGACACTCAGCTAAATTAACCCTCCATCATCATATGATCTAGGCCACCACTACCTCCATCCAACCTGGCCACAACTACCTCCATCCAACCTGGCCACCACTACCTCCATCCAACCTGGCCACCACTACCTCCATCCAACCTGGCCACCACTACCTCCATCCAACCTGGCCACCACTACCTCCAACCTGGCCACCACTACCTCCATCCAACCTGGCCACCACTACCTCCAACCTGGCCACCACTACCTCCATCCAACCTGGCCACCACTACCTCCAACCTGGCCACCACTACCTCCAACCTGGCCACCACTACCTCCATCCACCCTGGCCACCACTACCTCCAACCTGGCCACCACTACCTCCAACCTGGCCACCACTACCTCCAACCTGGCCACCACTACCTCCAACCTGGCCACCACTACCTCCAACCTGGCCACCACTACCTCCAACCTGGCCACAATGGCTCAGATTTCGGGGCAGGGTGCTGTTTATGAGCCAGTTCTCTTCGATTGTTTTAGATCATGTAGGATGTCAGTTTTCTTGTTCCCCGTCTTGGTCCCTGCTACGGTATCAATGTTTCTGTAACATTTAAATTCAAAAGCCACAGTTTGTTTCTCCCTGTCGGCAATTGAGTAAGAGTTCATGCCATAGTTTCCCAGTTTCCAATCAGTCACCTGATCCACAAAAGTCACACCCCCAGCGCCCAAGTCTGTCCCCACCTACCGTTACCCGCGCTTCAATTATTTACGTCATTGCCGACACAGCAGACGCAACACAGTCGTCTGGCCAGTCGTGCAGATAGTCAAGGCGGGAATTATCGTCCACACCCGTTGGAGGTCGTGTAGGGGTCATCCGACGAGAGGTGCTGGAAGGAAAGCGTTTTGTCTTCGCGGGTACTAGGTCCTTGTATACTCATTTGTGGCAAATATTGTTTATTGTGATCGATTTTGTAAAGCTAACATAAACTAATTGTTGTTTCTTACCAACTTTTTCTCTTCCCTATAATTTTCTACTCCTTATAAAATACTCATTTGTGGGAACTAGCTCCCTACGGCACTCGTCTGTCTTTTCTTCACAAGCAAAATTAGTGAACGCTAATCCTGGTATTACCAAAATAATGGTCTAATATAACACGTTCTATTTTAAAGAAGTTATGTTAACTGAGTGAGTGACGTTCAACCACTCGAGGACCGCACAAGGAGCAATTAACACGCGATGACACAAAGTACCACCATTGTAATAAGAATCCCCGGGCTTAAGTCCCAGAAATCCCGTTCTACTGTAGATTATATTTAAGGACCCCGACGACAGCCGGTGAGGGAATTTGAATTAACACAATAATTGTGTCCCATATCGGGACGACGGAACGTAATTACGTTAATTAAGCAGGGACAGGGACCGACCAACACGAAGATGGGCACATGATATAAGTGACTCCTTGAGTATGAAAGTGCATGAGGCGGGAGAGCTGGCGAGAGACCGAGTTTATTTCAGGCAGACCATGATGAGAGCGACGTTCTGCAAAGGAACTGCTACATGATGATGATGATGATGATAAATAAACGTTGGGTCTAATGAGATAGCTTGTGTTGATTCTGGGCAGGTTCTAAATGTAGATCAGTGGTGACATTTTTAACATTTAACCTGAACCACAACAGTTGCAAGTCAGCAGCCTAACAAATCAGCCATTAGGTCCAGAATGAGCTGGAATGTCTAAGGTACACTTGACGGTGGGACTGGTGCGTCGATGGGCTGACAGATATTAAACGATGTCACAGCCACAGTCAGTGCAGATCAGATTCATCACTGGCCGAGGTCGATCGCAGACGATTCTAGTTAGCACACGTGTATTGCTTGGCGTGAGAGCTCACACTTACAGTTTGGTGTATATACGTCTATTTTTTGAATTTTGTAGTCTGGTTTTTCTGGGAAAGGGGGAAGGGGGGGGGGGCGCTACCAGGTTCAACCTGTTTCTATACTATTATTCTTAGTCCTTGCCTTAAGTTTTGTATGGTGAGATCATCATCAGGTTGGCTGCCTCTATGAACTCGCATGTCAGTAGCAGATCCTTCGTGGTTCCCCATAACTTGCTCTGCACACTTTGCTCTTGAGGCCAGGTCTCATATCCTTTATCATAATCATGATGTGTTTTCTTCGCTGCTTTGCGTGTCGGTGATGCTTTGATTAAGCCACTGCTCACTGAGTGCTAAGTCTTCGCCTAATCACTCCCAGGATTGCGTCACTGCTGCTTAATAAGCTGATCAATCGCTGTCTTTTTTGGGAAATGCCATGTGTTGTTTTTTTCCTTTCACACAACAAATCATATTACATAATTATTATTCCATATTACACTTAGGAGAACTTACCGCAGCAGGAAAGCAGGAACAAGTAACGAACTCAGGCCCAGCTACGTCCAGCTACACACTTCTGAGTGACGGAGTCTGGCTAGGACACTGTGATCAAGCGTTCATTCCTGCGTCTTAACCTTTGAGACACGCAGGTTTAAGTGGTAGGGGTGTCAGCCTGCTGCGACGTTGTATTGCGCCGACGCTCTTACCGGCGACTACGCATGCTCTGTATTACAGGATAGGAGCGCTTTTAACGACCCCATAATATTTACAATTGGTCCTAACCTCAACCCCACTACCACACACACTGAACCTACGTCCCACGAGAGAGTGCATTCTACGTCCGGTGGTTTCAGACTTCTCAACATTTGCGGTGGCCCTCAAAACTCTGTGTCCTGCAGAAACGCAACTATACACTCTTCGCGCCCGCCAACTCTGACAGCTGGAATGGACTCATTTCCTATAGACAGTCTAAGACGGTTGTCATATACCCACCAGTAAACACTTTCTGCTCACAGTGAGAACGCAGTATGGGTGGCCGCTGCTCACGAAGAACGATTAACACGCAACGCAGAAAGCTTTGTGAATACAGCAGTTCACCGGGACACCCCTCTAACGTTGAGCAACGTTGACAATCCTGACCAAGCATCAGTTAAATGTGACCTAGTTGTAGGTGGGCCTGAGTTCGTTACTTGTTCCAGAAAGCATGTGAAGGGGTGGTAAAGGGGGTGACAAATCACTTATTCAAAATATAGGTGTGGGGTAAAGTCGACACAGAACAAGAACCGGTTATTCTGGTAAAGTCTCTACGTGAAGCAGGGTTATAAACACTATAGCCAATCAACCCTGTTGTTGTTGTTGTCTCCTACGTCCAACATTATTTTGAATGTAGCATGCAGTTAGATAAACAATTTAAATTCCGCAGCAAGGCAACGTCTGCCAACTTCTCAAAGCTGTCACACACACAAAAAGGCGTTTATAATGGACAAACTGAAACAACAGATGTGGCTCCCGCTGGGGCAGATAAACACATGAATTCTGCTTCAGCACCTGTTTGAGTGCGATCGCTATTGAGTTCAGGTGTGTTTGTGTGCGGGCCACTCGCTCACACACAAGTCGTGCATCAGGCCAGGCTTCGGTTTGATTGTTTTCTGCAGTCACCTTAAGTAGGTCACGACAGTATTCTATACTTTTTGTTTAGTTCGAAAGTGCTACTTTCTTCTTCACCCTGTTGAATGTAGCTGATTTGTTATTCTCGCCCTAAAATTCCACTCCACAGTGCAGCAGTTTGTCATTAGTTAGCGTCCCGACATCAAGTCTTGTATTGTTGAACGGGTTTGTGAAATCTGCTACTGTTGGGTTCTGATCCGAAGAATGGACTCTTTGTGTCACGGGGTGTCAATTTTTCAGGCTAAAATCCCAAAGAAAACAGATCGTTTAAAAAAAAAAAAAATCTGGGTTTGAATTGTGGATCACTTTTGCCATCAACTCTTGTTACGTCGTAAGAGACGTGAAAGCATCTTCTAGAAAAAACAACTGTTCTATTATTGCACTGATGTCTCTTTTGCACGCGCCAGCCGGTCAGGTTTAAGTTGAATGGCTGCTCATACTGGACGCTTGATAAAAGAGTTGCTGTTCTTGCCCGCTGCATCAGTTATGGCACCCAGTCTCATGACCTACATACGACGGTTAGGCAGGAGCTAATCAGACGGGGTCAAAATACTGGGTCTTGATAAACACGCGGTCATAATACTGGGTCTTGATAAACACGGGGTCATAATACTGGGTCTTGGTTAACATGGAGTCATAATACTGGGTCTTGATAAACAAGGGGTCAAAATTGTGGGTCTTGATAAACACGGGGGTCAAAATACGGGGTTTTGGTAAACACGGGATCATAATACTGGGTCTTGATAAACAAGGGGTCAAAATTGTGGGTCTTGATAAACACGGGGGTCAAAATACGGGGTTTTGGTAAACACGGGATCATAATACTGGGTCTTGATAAACAAGGGGTCAAAATTGTGGGTCTTGATAAACACGGGGGTCAAAATACGGGGTTTTGGTAAACACGGGATCACAATACTGGGTCTTGATAAACACGAGGTCATATTACAGGGTCTTGGTTAACACGGGGTCAAAATTCTGGTTCATAGTCAACGTGGCATGTATCATGACCAGACACAGCGACGGTATTGCTGTTGTGTGCACGAGTATGCAACTTTATATATATATATATATATATATATAAATATATATATATATATATATATATATATATATATATATATATATATATATATATATATATATATATATACATACATTGTTTGAATTACATTTACAAAAGCAAAAATAATAAGATGGCAAAAATGATGATGACTGATACTTTCATTCCATGAACTTTTAGAAGAGAGTAGAAAAGGGTAGGCAGAAAAGACAGGGGCGAGGAAAGCAGAGACCATTCATACTTTATGTTAGTTGTGTTGGTATCCTGACAATTCTAACTATTGATGATGATGATGATATTGTGGCATAGAAAACAGCAAAATGCTAGTGTTTTATCACCCCTGTCTCTTTTAGTAGCTTTAGTTTTTCCAAATTCGTTCAGTTCATCCTTCTGGCTCTCACCCTCTGAATATATATATATTTATATATATATATATATATATATATATATATATATATGTATGTGTGTGTGTGTGTGTGTCCGCGCTCGCTTATAAGTCTATATGTGGATGCGCAGTGCCTCTGTTTCTGTCTCACCCCGTCTCATTCTCTGTAGCCCTTTCTCCCTGCTTGTACCTTACTCCCCTCTCTCCTTCTTATTTTTCTCTCCCTTTCGCTCTTCTTTCTCTTTGTCACGTGCTCTCGCACGTACGACTTTGTATATTTCTTCTCACTTCCCTGTGCTGAGCGGGAAAACAGGGGGGGGGGGGGGGGGTCGATACGATTTAAGTAAAAACTCATATCTCCCCCCGAGCTGTGCACAAACGAGAAAACTGAAAATCGATTAATTTCAATCTGCACTCCCAATCCAGTCATACCGTTTTCTCTGCCTCTGTTTATCTTATCTCGAGCTGCCACCCCTTCCCTGTCCTCTTCTGTCCATTTATGTCTAGCTATGGCTGTATATATCTCAGTTTCTTATACAGTATTACTTGCAACAACTTCAATCAGTTTATTGTGTATTTGGCTGTAAAGAAAATGGCATTTTTTGTCGGCCGTTTTTCTCTCCCTTGCTGACAATTCCCGGGGAGTTGTCTTTCTTGTCGGGTTGCAGGCAAGCAATCGCTCCCATTTGTATGGCAAGGGAAAGTATCCTTGTTTTTCGACGGGCAGGAGGCCGAGATGTGGATTTGTATTGATTGTATAGGGGCCTCATAGGTCTGGGAGCAGGGCTCTTGTATGGATGGAATCTCATCCTCTTGCAATGTATTAGATAATCACAGGTGTCACAGGTCCGGTTTACGTGTGAAAGTGAATCCTCTTTACCACATCGAC